GGGAGCCCCTCCTTTCACCAGAGCCAGGATAGCCACATCCAAACGGCTCTTCCCCAGGTAGAGAGACCAATTACTTCTTTAAAGACAAGATGTGCAGAGGTTATTTTTGAAATCTTGAGGACCCTCCAGCTTTCTTGTGGCTGCCCCTGCTTGCAGGACATCCATTACGGCCAAGCCCAGGGACGGCTCTGGAAAGCTAAGCGGTCTCCAGGCTGCTTTTCTGATGTGTGCGCCATCCATCATAAAAAAACCACAACTCATAAAGCTACCTATGAACACTGCAGCGGGATCCCTATATGATCTGCTAAAACATAAAAACCTTACAAGGCTGCTTCGCAGAACCGCGCAGGGAAACACCCCTCTCAGCCAAGAGCTGCAGGATGCGGCACGGCAGAACTGGGTCACTGCAATCAGGCTGGAGACTCCCTGCAGACCGAGGATGCCACAAGACTTTCTAACTCCTCTGCTCGATGCCTCCACGTTATGACACATCTGAAAGAGGACCCTAACAGAGCCAGCACAACTCTGCACCGTTACACATTTGCTTACACATTCACCACGTCACGCAGCATTTCGTATTTACTTCGGAAGCCTCGCAGCCGAGCTTTGATTTGGCGTAACCTCACTCAGCAATATTCTACAGGCTCACAGACCCACAGAACAGCACCGCACACTGCTGCAAGACACGGCGTAACAAACCCACGAGCATCCTCACGCTGCTCTGCGCGGCCAGCCTCCTGCCCAGCAGCAGAGCACATTTCCCAGGGGCGCACAGACACACCAGCCTCCTTTGGGCCAGGATTTCTCCCAGGCGCGAGGCTTTTGATTGCAGCTTGTTGGATGAGAGGTGGAAAGCCTGCCCCACGCACTCAGGACGCACAGCGGGAGAATGGTGCCGTGCCGCGGGTTTCCTGCAGATCCCACGACAGCAGGACGGGCACCGCCGAGGGCCAGCCACCAGCCGGTGTTTCCACATCGGAACGCGTTCTGCAGCCGCCACTTAGCACTTCCCGAGGGAGCTGCGAGGATTGCACTGCGGGCAACCTGTAAATAAGCTTAGATCCCACTTATTTCATCTGATAACAAAATAAAACCAGGGTGCATTAGCCTAGTGAAAAACCACCCTTTGTGCCCCCACCACGGATCTGTCTGACGCTCACCGGAACGGGAGGAAAGCAGCAAGCGCTGGCTGCTTTGGAATATCCTGGGCTTGTCACCACCCCGAATATTCTGAACTGGATCCGCTCATTAAAAGCCCGTTCAAGCAGCAGCAGACTATCCGCATTTCCTCTCTAACAACCGCCGATTGCCAAGAAAATGTACTCGTAAACAAAATGTTCCTCACCCGGTATCCGCAACCCCCTTTATCACTCCAAGGCTCTAAATGCGACGTCTCAAGTGACGGTTGGTGTCATCGTCACAAGCACCAGGTGAAATATGTTAGAGCTGCACGTAAACACACCACTAACTGCCAGGCGACAGAGAAGAAAACCAGAAATATGCACAACGGGGTTCTGCTCAGGTACCACAGGAATATTTTGACACTCAATTTAGATTCTTTAAATAAATTTGGGACAGAGGATTGGCTCAGTTAACCCCCCAAAATCTCAACCAGAAATGCAAAATAAATACATCAGAAAAAATACTTTCAATGTTTGTTTTACATGGCCCAACAGAAAGCCAGCTGTCACAGGTCAAGCTCTCTTTTCCATGCACTCACAAGCCTGCTCTACTGGAGCTCTGGAGTACAATCTGCCTATCCGAAACTCCTGAGGCCAGGCAGTTCCCAAACTTTGTTCCGTGGCGGTTTGGGGGTTTCCAGCACTTTTCAGGAGCCTTATTCCTCTTGTACGAGTGGGACTGCAGAGTTCAAAGCCATAGGGTCCTTAAGACAATTTAGACAAGCACAGGCTTCTCCCTGATGTGTAAAACTGTGAAAATATAATTGCAGCTTGTTTATGTCTTAAGGGACTGATGATAACATAAGTTTATGACGCACTGCTGATCACAGCTTCCAATACAGTTACTTTTTGCTTTAGGCAGCGCGAGACGCGGATCTGCGTAAAGCAGCGCACCAAACACACGCTAATTTCTGCCCGATTCTGCAATAGCTGCGTCTACGTCCCGGCGAGTGCACATCACTCAAGATTAACCACCCATACGGCTTAGCTCTAAGCTTGCCTCACACGGAGTTATATATAGTTACACCTTATATTTGGAACACGTCAGCCCACAGCAATCACTAGCCATGAAGATAATCCGCACCAAGCTAGCCAGAACCCGTACGCTGGACTCCTGACGTTGTCAGACCGTCCTCAAGAGCTTCAGGCACCACATTCGGAAGGGCACGACTGCCCCGGCTTTCTCTTACCAGCATCAATTTTTCTTTCCCTGAAATTAAAACTGAAGCAGATGCAGCTGCAACCCCATTTGAGAAGTGATTTTGTCCATCAGTTGTTTACTTAAAATGCAGAGTGCAAAATGGGATGCACAGAAATGTATTTATCAAGCCTTTATTTGCCCATAAATTCAGCATGTGAAACCTCATTAGCCTGTCAGTCCAGAATTGCAAAAGTGTTCTATTGCAGCAGCAAGTCTGCAGGGCTCTGAATCAGCTTTAGTAAAAGGGCTAGACTGAAGTGGAAGAGAAGTTTTAACGACAAAAGTTGACATCTTTCTTTTTGGTGACCTGTCTGCTTTAGGACGCCAGCAGCGGGACCGCAGGAGGAGGGTCTGGCTTTGCAGCCACTGCATTTAGCAGCGGTGGATAACAACGCTCCCCGAGCAAGAACTTGTTATTTAGGGGTCTTGCACGGGTGAAAACACAACTGTAGTAATGCAAATCAACAGGGAATATACAAGGAGCGTGCTGGTTTTTGTGTGCAGTAAGCAGGAGGAGATGCAGTGGGGAGTGCTTCATTCTCCAGAGCTCGCATGGCACCTGCCAGCACCAGCCCCCGGCACAGCGGAGGTTAACGGTGCTAAATCCTTCCCCCGAGCTGCATTTCTACAAACGCCTGTCCTGTCAAACAGCACCGAGACACAGCTCTCAGAATATCTCCTGCTCGTGGCAGGTGAAGCTCTGCTGGAGAGCCCGCCCGGATCGCCCGCTCAGCCGCATTCCCATGGAGACAGAGCGACAGAAAACTCCTGAACAGATCGTCATCAAAACCCCTTTCTCAGTACACAGAAACTCTGCATTCAATAGTGTTGCATAAAGCAGTATAAATGTCTGGAAGGGAACCCCTTCCAAAAAAAAAACCCAAAAAACCAACCCAACCCCACCAGAACCCCGTCTCCCAGAGCCTCCAAGGGAACCCCTTCCAAAAAAAAACACCCAAAAAACCAACCCATCCCCACCAGAACCCCGTCTCCCAGAGCCTCAGCATCCTCCCTGTAACTACGGCACCAAGGGTGCAGCGCGGTGCTGGGAACCGCAAGGGAAGGAGAACCCTGAAGACCCGACACCAACAGCTTTCACCTCACTTGGGAAGCTTCAGCTTGCTACGAACCAGCTAACCTTCCACAGGCATCAAAGCCCAATGTAGGGATTCTCACAAAGACTTAATGAATTAGTGAAAAGAACAAAGATTAAGCAGAGTCGCTGTGTCTAACACACGTGCACAGTCAGGAGCTATGCAGAATGACCCCAAGCCTCAGTGTACCGCCCTGAAAAGTGATTGTTTCACTCTTCTCTCGGTTACATGGTGTTTTGATGAAAACATTCTCCCTAGAACTGGAACTAAAATCTCCATTTCTGGAGTCCTGTGCCACTTTTTGGTGTATTTATTGGTTGCGGACCCCATTCAACAAGTAATCTTTAAAAAAGCATCATTTGTATTTATGCATTCATTGCCATCTGCTCCTAGCCTTCAGCTAGTCAGGGGGAACGTTCAGTGAAATCTCAAAGTCTTTCTCCACAAATAAAACCAGCAGAAACCTCAGCTTCTTCGGGTTCGGTTAGCGGTGAGCCGACAGCAGCCAACGATAACAGTGGTTCCCCGCAGCCATATTTTCCTGGTGATAAACCACAGTATTTCTCAAAGTTCTCCTAGAGGAATTTTGCTGCACAGTAACTTTCTGTAGCTTTTAAAAGACCAGGATCTGTGCAGGCAGCTGGCCAACGTTCAGCCCCACGAAGAGCACGGCAGCAGAGGTTTGCTGTTCCTCGGCTAGCCTCCCACTGCTTCAGGCTCCTGGTCCCTCGAGAATATTCCTAATGCCACTGAAGCTCTTTGCCCTGCTTCTCAAAATTATCCAAGACTTCTGCCTGTGTTCACAAGCTGTGACCCTCTTCTGGGAGAAACCACCCCTGAGCTCACTAAATCAGAAAGGGAACAAGAAGCTAAAGAGGTCTCGTGCCGTCCCTCAGACGAGCAAAAGGTATCCATCCCAGGCACCAGGTATCCAGACCAGAACCTGGTCAAATTAACTCAGCTTGCTGCTGATATACGTCAGAATAACTGTAAGAACCGTAAGTCATTACAAGCATCTCCAAAAGACAGCTAATTACTCTTGACGCTGTGGTGACTCCATTGCTTACCACTGTCTGCGATGTCTCCAGGCTTCCCCTGTTTCACCCTACTCTAGCAAGTGCCCTGGCGTTTTCCATTCCGGACTACACGTAACCGTCAGAGGATGGAGGGGAATGTGCCGACAGGAATGAATCGTCAGAGCTATATACTGGGACGCACACGCTGGATTTCTCGCACCATGTCCTCAACGGGCACCATAATTGTTCGTGGTCCTCTCTGATGTTGGGTAAAAACACCATTCTTCGAAAGCTCCTGCTATCTGCAGCAGCCTTTTATAACTTTCTGCCTAATTAACTTGCTACGTCTTCCCATAACATCTTTCTTTGGTTTATCGCTCAATTTCTTTCACTACAGCATTATTTAACACTACCGTATTATTTACAGCAACTGCAAGATTTGGAACATGATTTGTACAAAGGACAATTTACAAAAAGTTGTATTGCACTATGTGCTATTTCTGCTCTCTGAAGAAGCAGATATTTAATTCCCAGAACAGTAAATCCCTTAATCTGAGTAAACCTAGATATTGAGCTGGAATCTAAAATGTAATAAGTAGAAGACAACAAATTTTCACCTTTCTAGTTCTGATTAATAAAACACCATCCCAAGCGCATAGTTCAAATCCTGTCATTCAATACTGCAGAGAAATTGTAGGTTAGGCGGAACGTTTGGATTAACAAATCCATCATTTCAACAGACAAGCTACACAAATTATCTACTTGCCTTCAATAACGGGGAAGACACTCACCATCTCAGAGCAATTTTGATGGGCGTAGTAAGGCATGATGTGAAAAGGTCAGCCGGCAGATCCGGGATCATGGGCAGCAGCTCATTGGCTTCACACGCCGCCAGCTGAATGCAGTTCTTCATGGAGGGAGGCAGCGGCATTTGAGCAAGCGGATGGTTTGGGTTAATTGCAGCCACCTGGAGAGATCAAGGAAATTACCCAGGTGGTGAATTCAGTAAAGTTAATTGTACACCATTCTGAAAATAACCAATGAAGAGCTTCAAAGTTTGGATGGATCTCTGGATTCAGAGACATTTAAACCTACGGTAGCACCAGCCATAGCTTTAACTCACACATAACTAACAGTATTTAAGTGTATTTACCAGAATTTACCATAACGAAACCACACACCAAAACCAGCAACGTGCACCAGACTGAAGGGTGAGCACCCCTTCAGCGTCTCCAGCGCACATCTGCCAGCCTGGAATCCAGCCCTGCAGGAGCAAGCTGGGCTCGTTAGTCTTTCCTTTACGTTTAAGCAAAAACCATCCTTCCTGTGGCTCCTAACCATGCACCACAGATGGCAGAATAGCTTCCCATGGAGAAAGGGAATTCATTTGGCTGTGCTGGGCAGCGTTTCCTGCCATGGAGCATCACGATGGCTCTTGTTGGTAAGCCAGAGGAGTCCGAACTCCCCGTGCTTCTCCCCGTACATCTTTCTACTTCACTAGAGCAAAAAGGTCAAGCTAGGAAAAGGAAGAGAGAAAACCAGTGTCTGTAAGGAGAGAGGCTGTCTTCCAACAAAAAGAGAAAAAGAAATGTGCACTGCCTTCTGCAATGCAAATATGAACAAATCAGCAGACAACAGTTTTAACCGATGCTTTAGTAAAAGGGTTTGAAGTCCTTATACATATTCCTCTGGATGGAAAAATGTAATTGCTGCTGGGTGTGACACTGAAAACCAACCCCAAAGTAAGGTCTTTGCACCTCAAGATCTAGAACCGTTCTAATGACATCATTGTCCAAGACTCTATTAGTTTATATTTAATTGGGCATTATCACTTGTCTAGAATACTCAGGACGGACAGACACGTCAGTGCAGATGTCATGGACAGATGGAGCGCGTTGGTCCGACGGCATCTGGGCAGCTCCAGCCCAGAACCAGCTCTGCAGAGTGTTCTTCAACTCCCATTCCACATGCTGCAGAGCACTTTCCAAAAAGCAAGAGGAAACGGGAAACAGCGCAGACACTTACAGGGGCATACTCAGTGGGTTTAAAAATCAAGGTCAAGTCTGCAGCTAAAGAGTTCCAGAATTCTGACCTGCACTACGGCGGTCACGCCATGCGCTGTCATTCCTGGAAGACGGTGGCCATTCGTTTGTTCTGAAAACAAATCAGAGGTGCCCAAGCTGAGGAGCGCTCAGGTTTGCTACTCGCAAGTTCTTTGTCCATCCAGAGGAAGAGCTAACGGATCCGCAAGTACTACTGCTTGTAGCTAACAGTGAGGGAAACAACTGATGGATTCTGCACCACTGCTGCTGAAAACACCGAGGTGCCTGTACAGCCAGACTGAGAAACAAGCACCCGACACAAAACCAAGCCTTCTTGAATTAACAGATGTGTTCAAGGTAAACCTGGGGGGAACTTTACCCCAAGACAGAACCTAGGAGTTGTTGTTATCTCAAGAGTTGACCAGACCTGCCAGCTTCACACAACCCCTGCTGCGAGCATCCTCCCCTCCGCGGAAGACGTGAATGCAGCTACAGAGAAGGAGACGTTCCTCTCTCCCAGCAGATGGTGGATTAGCAAAATTCTCTCCCCAGACATGATGTTAATGCCAGATAACATTCTGCTGTGCTGTCATTAAGCTAATTTTTTGAGAATTAATGTTGAAGATGGAAAAATAAAAGCGGTGAGTTCCTCGGCTCCAATTAGGACTCGTTAGTCACAGCCCTGCTGGGGGGAGAGCGACCAGGCGCTCCCACCGCACCGCCGGATCCCCGCACCGAGAACCAAACCAGGCAGCACGCAGCTGCAGGGTACACTGCTGAAAAATTCAAACAATAAAGGTGCAAATCAGAAAGTCATATCTCATGCAGCAAAGCACCCGTCTGGGAGCCCACCTCCAGCCTTCGCGTGCGCACATCTCCCGCGCGGCGCTCCGGCAGACCTCTGCTGTGTGACACCAGCCTGAGTCAGGGGAGACACAGTGTCACCGTTACACAGAGAATTAATCAGAGATAACTAGCCTGCTGCTTTATCATGGTTAGTGCAGCACACTAAAGTGTCTGCTTAATGCTCCAGCGTGACGGAGTGTTTATACGCACTCGGAGAACCATCAGAGCTGGGCAACGAGACGATGAAGAGCATCCAGTGCCCCACTGTCACCCCAGGCAGAGCGCAGCTCCAGGGCAGGCACGGGAGGTGTCTGTGCCCAGCTCCCTGCCCTGCAGACACCCTTTCACCCACCGGTTTCTTACAGCAGCACGAGGTCGAGTCCCTGCCGGGTGCCCTCTGCACCCTCTTTTGCCACCAGCTCCCACCCTGCCCTGCTGCTGTCCTGCCCGGTGACACCAAACAGGACACTCACAGGAAAGCAACAGCACAACTCCAGCTTCCGAAAGCTGGGGTCAGTTCCCAGGTCTGAAAAATATCTATTGGGAGAGGAAAACAATAGCTTTCTGATACAAACCTCAGGACAAAACCAAAACACATAAAGGGAAGGTCAGCTGGGAAAATGAACTTTGAAACGAATCTATCACACTTAATACTGCACCACACCATAACCCCGTCACGCTGCTAAATGATGTTTCTTATCTGCAAACCCTGCGCTTCTGTTCAGCTAGATATGAAACCAAATCCTCACCTGCCCAGCCAGCTGGAAATGAAAACAATTCACGGGTATTTCTCTGAAACAGTCAAGCCAGGGAAACTGCCGGTCCCTGCATCCATAGCATCTCACTGAGGTTGGGACCACTGTGACACACCCAGAAGGATGGGGACTGACAGACCCTATCAGCCCAACCGCTGCCCCATAGACACCCACTCAGAAGGATGGGGACTGACACACCTTGCCAGCCCAACCGCTGCCCCATAGACACCCAACACAGAGCTACAACCAAACGACAACATTATCCCCACATCCCACCAAAAACCAGCTACAGCTGAACCGGGTCCAGCATCTGCAGAGGTCCATCTTCTGCTTTCGCCCCCACCTCCCTCAGACCCAGTCTTTACATTGAAAATAAAAAAATACTTTCACTTGCAATCTGTCCCCGAGGATAAGATAGGACAGACCCCTGCCTCTGCTGTACAAAGTCTTCTTCTCACTGAAACCAGTACACCTCTTGCTATCTGCACAGCTCTTCACTCACACACATTAGCCAGACTTTATTTACCAACAAAAGGCCAAAAAACCCGTATTTACTATTCAAGTGCTATTTTGGAAGCAGCTCTCTAAAGAAGACAATGTGCCATGCAGCGCTCCAGCATTATCTCTTCTCAGGTATTTAGAGAAGCGTTAACTGCTTTTCTATCACTCCCAAGTTATCAGGTTTTTTTATGCTTCCTCTCTTTGGAGACCGAACAAGATTTAGATTTTACATTAAGAAAAAGTCCCAGCCTTTATACCCCATGAACAATGAAAACCAAATATAACGGGGTTGCGAACATAGCTACGTTGTCATTAATTTTTATGTTTCTGGTGGAACTATATATAATCCGATGGCACCTGGCCAGCGCTCTGTGGTATCCAGAAACAGCAATCCCAAATAAAACAAAATAGAACAAATTAAAACAAAATAAAACAAAATAAACAGCCATGGCTTCTCTCAGCCTTCACTCTGTCAGATTAAGAGAACGGCAAACTCCTCTAATCTCCTTTCAGTAAGACGAGCTAACAATTATCTTGATCACTCTGGCAGCCCCTTGAGTACCAGTTTGGGCTTTACTTCGCCTTTCACAAATTTGAACAACTCAGTAATTTATAGTTTTCCAAATGAATTCTCACCCATGCTCTGCAAGACACCGTAAGCGCTTTTCTCTCTCCGTTACCAAGTCCAGGACAATGTCTGGTGGTCCCATTCTGTTCTTAAGATGGGAAGATGTAAGATAACCTTCAAAAGGCATCTCTTACCGCTGCTACTGACCTGTGCCTCGCTGTTTCACGTCCTTCCCAAGCCACAGACTTTGGGAAGTTTCTTATCTTTACAAAGAATGGCATCATCACTGGGTGAAGAGAAGGAGTAACGAAATGATCTACGTATCTCAAGCCATTAGACTGGTTTCCATCCGTAGAATGGGATTTTCACCTGCCAAAAGAGTCACCACCAAAGCAGCTCCAAAAAACAGAGTTTAGATGAAAGGAATGAGAGCCAGAGAGACTGTTACTATCTACTGGAAGGGTGTACTTGTGACAGTCAGTTGCCTGATCCATTAATATTCCTTCCCTGAAGTCTGTTTGGCTTTTCAAAAATACGTCATAGAACTGAGAGTGTAAGAAGCTGACCTCTAAAAAACGTGCTTTCCAGGTCAGCTGAAACCAGCAGGCATTTCTGTCCGTGGGGAGCCTTGCCATCCCAGGCTGCTGCACAAAGAATCCTGACTCCTTACCTTCCACTTTGCATTTCAGATTGACTTCAGTAAATTTATTAGTAATTCCATTTGCAACGACAGACAGCTTTGCATTAGAAACACATTCAGCCCAAGCAGCCTGTGAAACTGAAACCACTGGCGCCAACCCCTCTGTGTACCAGGTTCATCTCGTTTCGCATTTTCACACTCAGATCAACAGCACAAAACTCTAAATGCATCCAAACACATATTCAGATATCAGACTTTTGCAACTAAAATAAATACGTCTAGTTCACCTCGGCATTAATCTCAGCAGAAAAGACCATTAGGGCATAAACTGATCCTATTAACATCGCCATCTAATTAGTGCTTGTACTAAAAATTATTCCAACTTTAATAGGATAGCAAGCTGAACCAGAAAAATTGGAGTAACAAAATTATTTGCAAATTAATTTGCCTTCTAATATAGTTTCAAACACATTTTTCAGCCGTGTACAGCAAAGCAAGCTTAAACTTAACCCTGAGGCACAAACACAAACGAAACCTTTGCAACAGACCGTGATCTCACCTCCAGCTCCTGCTCCCTCTGCAGTGCAAACTGTTTGAACGACTTGACAATAAGGCCGGCGTTGGAGCAATCATAGACGAAAATGGAAGGGCTGCCCATCCAGGTCTGCAGGTCGTATATGGACAGAGGGATGTACTGAGTGTAGTTCTGGAGGAAGAAAAGAAACACCCGAGTTACAAAGAGGCCGAGATGCAACAGAACTTTAATTGGTGGGATAGTAAGATACACGCAAAAAAAATCCAATTCTGAAATCACAAAACAAAACCCAGACTGAACACTGGGCACGTTAATCACCACAAATACCCACCAGCATCTCTTAATAACGAGGACTGTGAACCCAGCTCCAGCACAACCCACAAGCAGATTTTGTTGTGGCATTGTTTGAAATGCTAACTCCGAACTGAAACTCTCAAACTCGGCACAGAGAGCTTTGATAACGTGCCGACAACTCCAACCAGCACTTAACAGCCCGATTGTACCTCAAATCTCTGCAGCGCTGATACAGGATGTAAACCAGCTGTCTTTAATGTAACATCAAACATCTTAAACTGGAAACTCCATCAATAAATCAAGATTGCTAATCAAGACTATGCAGCCCATCAGCAGCCACCACATCTTAGTTTAACGAGATGTTTCAGGATTTCATTACACCTTTAACTTCTGTGCCACTTTCAGAATTATCTGATAAAACGAAAACCCACAAAGCTTGCCTTCAACCAAGTGAAGCACCAACAATTTTGTTTCTGTAAACACGAAGCATTTTGTTGCTTCTCGTCCACCTTAACACCCCCAAACAATTGGAGGCAAGAGCTTCTGACAGTCCGAGGAGGATGATCAGACATCCAAAACCAGCTGCGAAGGGCCACACGCTAACCTACGGGGCAGCACGGAAAGTACAAACCAACGCAGATTTCCTGAGCCTGCAGAGTGGCCCCGCCAAACACCCCGCTGCCTGCACGACCCTTCCCATCCGCAGCCAGAGGGCAACCTGTCCGTGTTCCTGCAGCACTGAACTCTGCCCGTCGTGTTCCCATTCCCATCAGCAGGATGATGGATGGGATCATCACTCCCATTTACATTCAGGAGACTGAAAATAGCAGTAATAAAACCAGTAAACTTTTACAAAAATCACATTTTCAAGGCCACGTATCAGCGCATAGAAAGGCAGAAATGATCATAAACCATACGTTAGATAAGGTAGGAAATAGTGAGTCATTTCAAAATCCAGCTTTGCCCATATAGAAAAGTTTTGGTTGTTTCATTAAAAATCAATAGGAAAAATTTCTTACGAAAGCCAAAGTTTTAGGGAGCAAAGTTAGGCGCTTTGCAAAACGTTGCAGGCTGGAATGACACATGAACGACTCGCCCTTGGCACAGACCTTTCCTAAGGACACGCTCAGCTTCAGCACATTCCAACCCTAGTGAGCTCCATACAAAACCCGCTCTGACACATACAACCCGGGAGATTTCACGGGCACGCGCTGTTTTAACTTCACCACGCATATTGCTACAGTTAAGACTGGATTATAGCTCTGATTAATATTGTGACATTTCAAAGCAGAAGAATTTTATGTTCTGGTTTTACTGTGGGGGTCACATGTAACTTATCAAATTTGCTAATGATATGTAAATGAGACAGGTTGTGCTAAATAACGGTTTTCTGCCATGGTTGCTCCGGGTGATCTCTGATGCTGGCTCATCGTGCCCCTGCCACGCTGGGGCTGAGTACGGAAGAACTTGTCTGTACGTTTTGTTCTCAGTATTGACTTTGGGTTTTAGCAAGAAAGTTTCTGCTCTGTTAACACAGCTCCCACCATCCCTCTGCGGCTGTTCAAAGACTGGCACAACAAACAACTGAGCTAGAAACGGATTTTGAACAGATTTTACAACCAATTGCTTAATGAACAACTCAAAAATATTTTAAAAACACTCTTCAGATTTTGCAGAGAAGTTCCTCAGAACTTCAGAATAAACATGTTTAAAGTCAGGGGCTTCTGGTTTTCACCTTTGTGAAACCACATTGGGATTTTCTCAGAAACCAGCAGCAAGCAGAACTAGGAAGAGAACATTGCTCCTCATTAATAGAGCAGCACTCGCAATGAAGATAGGAAAAGCACAGTACTGCATCTTCACAAGCCGGCACACCACCAGAGAATGCCAAACGGACCGGTTACAAGGACTGTCTCAACCCCTCCTTTGCGCAGCAATGCTGTACAGCAAGCCTACAGTAAAATAACGACCAATTCCCTAATTAAGCACTGACTTTCTGTGTAACACTAAGACAGAACTGACCCAGAAAAGGGACATTTTCAAAATAATCCTTCCTTCCAAAGCAATTTCCCTTTACGCTTACTACCAAAGATGAAGCAATGCTTGAAGAATATTCTCTGAAGAGATTTCTCTAAAGCTAAAAAGCTTCTCCAGAAGGTTGCCAGCCTCTGTCCTGGGATTTCTGAACTTTGTGGAATCCCCCAGAAATCTCAGGAAATGAACCTTGTGGCAATGAACCTACGGGGAATCCATCCCCAGTTCTCTCTGCATCTCTAACCAGAAGAGCTCAGGAACATTTTGTTGGTCGAGCTGCAAAGCAAAAATTAACGAACTAAAGCACGATAAACACCTTCACCTGCTGCCTTGGCATAGAACTGCGTTTGCTGAGCAGCTGTGATAAAAAAAATACTTTCTGCTTCCCTCAATGGTGCCTCTGTCCCCAGGAGGTTCCCGAACGGAAGCAATCCCTGAAGGCAGCGGGCACCTCCCGCAGGCACGCCGTGCTGCAGGGCAATGCAGGGGCACTCCTCCCTACCGTCGTCTTTTCCACAAAGCATACGTAGAAGGTCAGGTTTAAATTCTAATAAAATGAATGCAGATGAGTATCAGATTATTTATTTACAACTGTCCTCTTCAGCTGCCAGGCTGGATTAAACCTCCAAAGGAAAGGCTTGCTGCCTAGGCGAAGCCTGAAAGGTGAAGGTAATCAGAGGTACTCATACTGCAGCAGCGCAACTTGTCAAAAGCTATAAAAAATTAAACTCAAGGAAAACCTGTCTGCAGGAGACAAGGCAGGTTTGGTTTTTGAAGACCACGCTAGCTTAGCTACTAGCTTTTCAAGTGCCTTCCCCAAGCTGCACCATACCCCTTCCCCTTCCACACGCCTTGCCGGCAGCTTTTGAACGCGGTTTAACTGAGCAAAGTGCCTGAGACGTGCGGCTGAAGTGAATCGGGCTACGTGATACGTCCTGAAGGTTTTATCTTTTTTAATCTCCATATCAGAACACACCATGTTTAATCTCTCCTGCATACACTCTGCCATGCCAGGAAGGCTGCTCACCGCGCACAGAGCTCAGCCGCCAGCTCAGGGCTGTCCCTCTGCCGGGGCAGGGGGACAATCCGCTGATGCTCCAGCAGCACCGCAGCCCCACCGCAGAGCTGGAGCAGGGGCACCCGTCCAGGTGATCCTGGGACACCTTCAGGAACATGTCAGTCCATCCGCCAGGCCTTTTGTCAACAAATTCAATCAGCTACATGAGCAGCCAGCTTTTCAGAAGAGGAGAGGATAAAGCGTTTCAGAGCAGCATCCTCCTTCCATTACCATATTAAAACACCAGTTCAGACGGAGCACCAACTGTGCAAGAGCAGAGGTCTACATTAATTTTAAAATACCACCTCTTGAGAAACGAAGGGGAAGATAATTAATGAAGATCTAACACTTTGTGAACTTTCTCCAGCATCATTACAAAGTGCTCCTGCACCCCTACCTCTGCCTGCTGTCTCCACCAGCCTGCTGGCACACATTGAGAGATCTACATGTGACACTGGAAAAAGGTGAAAAAGAAAAAAAATTGCACAGGTTCTAAGGTCCTCTGAGCTTCCAGGCTCTCACAAAGTAGCTATCAACAGCACTGCAAAGCTGCTTTCACTTCTCCCCTCGCAGCGAACCGCAGAGAAGAGGCTTGGCTCTGCCAGTCCGTGCATCCCAGAGAGCTCCGGCAGCCGGGAGGCAGAAGGTCGCTAACCCAGCAGCTCTGACAGCTCCCGCTGCATCCGGATCAGGCCGTGGGAGCGCAGGGAAGGCAGCGCCGGTGCTCGGACGCAGGGGAGAAGTCCCTCTGCCATCACCTGCGCCACCAGCCCCCCGGGGGCTGCACAGCAATTTTATGGGAGAAAAAAAAACAAGAAAGGAACAATGAGCATCTCCAGAGCGAGAACAAAAGCGTACTGAAATGTTTGGACAGTTTATTGAAATCCTTGTTGTCTCCTAGCCTTGAATTAAAACATGTCCCACCTCCTGTTCGTCCCCCCTGCACCGACACCTCGCTCCAGCCCGGCCAGTCTCACCAGGACCACACGTGCCTGGGAACAGGAGAAGGATGCTGGGCCTGGCCCCACGGGAGGTCAGGATAAATCCAACACATTTTATTTGCCTGGACGAGCACAGATCAGCCTCTGACACACCACATCCACCAGCAACAGCCGTTTCCCTCCTTTTGGCCCCTCGCTGGGATGATCTCAAGGTCCCTTCCAGCTCTGCCTTCATGCTCTCATAACTGAGACTTCAAGGGCATGCGTGAGCACTTAAAAATCTCATTTTAAAATGTCAGCACAGTCAAATTTCAGTGCCTCTACTATTTCAATTCAAGAGGGCTATAATACTGAGCCTCATTAGGCTCTCTGCTTACATCTGAGACTGAATTCCTTAGGACTCTGATTTTTTCCCCCAGTATTCCCTTAAATTTAATCCTTTGCTCAAAAGAAAAGTCCCACTCCTGATTTTTTTTTTTTAAATATTTGGTAGCATGCTGCAAAAATCACTAAGTTTCAACTTTCCCCACCAGCCTCAATGACAAGGAAATGTTTTTCCTAAGATAAATCAGAGAGCCCTCAGGTCCTGCTCACCAGTGGCACCCACACCACGCTCCCCCAGCTGGTCCCGCAGGCAAACTGGCAAATACCCAGTAAGCTCTTAATGGAGCATCTGGCACAACACGCAGCTCCGTTGAGCAGTCATTTCCTCCTCCTCCATGGGAACCGCGTTCTGCCCAGCATTCTTTCTGGCTAATTTATTACCCACAGGCTGTTTAGTAAGAAGAAGGTCACTCCTATCTGTTCTTCAACACCAAATCCAGCTTCAAACCGAAGCAGCATTA